CCCCGCATCGGGCTCCCTGCTCCGCGGGAAGCCTGCTTCTCCCTCTCCCACTCCCCCTGCTTGTGTCCCCTTTCTCGCTGTGTCTCTCTCTGTCAAACAAATAAAAAATCTTTTAGAAATAGTGATAGAGAGAGAGAATGAGTGAGCGGATGAACAGGGGGGAGGGGGGAGAAGCAGGCTCCCTGCTGCAGGGAGCCCGATGCGGGGCTCGATCCCAGGACCCTGGGATCATAACCTGAGCTGAAGGCAGATGCTTAACCCACTGAGCCACCCAGGCGCCCCCCTCTAGGTTCATTATTAATAACAGGGGACCTTTCAATAGTGATTTATAGATCAGAGAACTTTCACACATAGTTTGTTTATTGGAGTAGTAGTCCCCACACTTTCAAACGTGTAGCAATCCAACGATGTGCTTGTTAAAACTGCAGATTCCCCGGCTCTAACTTACAGAATCTGATTCAGTAGATCTGGGTGTGGGCCTAGGACTCTGCATTGTCAGAGTCACTTGCAAAAATGTATTGCTTAGATCTGGGAAAGATGAAGAGATGAGTAAACAGACCTGGAAATTAAATAAGAAGTAGGGATTGCACTTGTAAAAATATGTCAAATGCTTGTTTGTCTCTGTTCGTATTTAATGATATTTTAGGTATCTTAACCCCCTTCTTATAGGATATCTTTTTTTTTATTAAAGATTTTATTTATTTGACAGAGAGACACAGCGAGAGAGGGAACACAAGCTGGGGGAGTGGGAGAGGGAGAAGCAGACTTCCTGCGGAGCAGGGACCCCGATGCGGGGCTCAATCCCGGGACCCTGGGATCTTGACCTGAGCCGAAGGCAGACGCTTGACGACTGAGCCACCCAGGCGCCCCTAGGATATCTTTGAATACAACCATTCGTTTACTGCACACGTGAAGCCATACCTAGCCAGTCTCCAAATGTTACTGGGTTGTTTGTTTTTCTATAATATCTCTGTCACAGCCACTCCTTCCTTCTGCTCCCATTACACTGTTATCCCCTTAGTTCAGGCCTTACGGTCTCGTACCTGGGTCTGTCAGTTAGCTTTTGCTGGGTAATAACACACCACCTCAAAACATAGTGGCTTAAAACAACCACCATGTATTTAGTCCGTCATTCTGTGGGTCAGTAATTTGGACCTGGGCTCAGGAGCAGCTCTGCTGGTCATGCCGGAGCTCACCCATGCATCTGTGGGCAGTTGGGACAGCAGCTCTACATGACCCCTTGTCACCAGCCAACTCGCCCGGGCTTGTCCACATGGGGGCAGGACAGTTCCAAGTGCAGTGAGAGGGCAAGCCCCATGTGGACGGGCACTTTCCAAACCTCTACCCACCCAGACCGAGTGGGTGGAGGAATAATAAAGTGCCTGTTAATGGAGGTGTTGCCATGTCACATCACAAGGGCACAAGCAGAGGGAGAGCAATTTGTGCTCATTTTCACAGTCTCCTGAATGATCACATCTCCTGCCTTGCAAGCTTTTCTGGCTGTGGGCTCTGCTGCTCCAAAGCATCCTGTTTCCTGCTGCCACGTTCATTTCCCGTAAGCACTGCTTTCATATTTTGTGCCTGTTCATAAGCTCCCAGAGCCTTCGTCTTTCCCCTGCCTTATTAGCTGTAAACTCTTCTGCCTAGCTTTCCAAGGTCTCCTTAGAGTAGCCGGACCTGAAAAGCAGAGCATGCAATACAAGAGAAAAAGAACTAGCAGCAGTCAGAGGAGGCTGGGACACTAGTCCAGCCCGGCCACAGACTAGCTCTTCACTTCTCTTTCTCCGTCTATGAAATGACGGAGTTTGGATTTAGATCTGAGAGGTCTTTTTTCAAATTTCCTCTGAGTACCTAGACAAACAATTCCTATTACTCCTTAAATAAACCTTCCACTGCAGTAAAACCCAGCTTATTAGTTTCCCACTGAACATCCAGCTTACATAGCTCTTTGTGCTTTCATTCCCCAGGTTTTCTCCACGGGCAACTGCCCTTTGCTTTCTTGACTGCTTGTTTTCAGTTGTGCCCAGCCCTTGTCTCTGTTCATCTCTGCCATCCGGTTTGGCACTTAATGACATTATCTCTCATATTGTTCTGTGTTTCAGTTATTAGTCTTACCGGCTAGACTGTAAACTCATTGAAGGAAGAGACTGTATTTTATACATCAACTAAACACATAGTAGCTATCAAGCAAATTTATTTGTAGATTAATCCTCAATTTCTATCCCAGGTCATAAATAATAGGAACTAGCTGATAACTTTTTTTTTAAGATTTTATTTATTTATTTGAGAGAGATAGAAACAACATGAGTTGCGGGGGGGGCCAGAGGGAGAGAGAATCCCAAGCAGACTCTGTGCTGAGCGATCACGAGACCCTGAGATCACGACCTGAGCTAAAACCAAGAGTCGGACGCGTAACCGACTGTGCCACCCAGGCACCCCAGGCTGATAACTTTTAAAACCAGTAGGAGGATAAGACTGCTTGAGCAGAGGTGGTGATGATGAGGGTGGGGGTGGGGGGTTGGAGAAGTGGGTGTGTTTGTTAAATGTATCCAAGGTAATATATACTTACTGGGCCGGTTAGTTGATAGAATGTATCTGCAAAATTGGTTTGCAGGCCTTTCCTCCAGCCATCCTGTGACTCTGGTTCTCACCCTTGTTTCCTGCAGTCGTTACCCTTTCCTTCCGTACGCTGTCACCATGACCCTGACGAAAGGTTCCTTCACCTACTCCAGTGGGGAAGAATATCGAGGCGAGTGGAAGGAAGGTGAGAGCATCCCCCCCCCCGCCCCCAGGGATCAAGTGATGAGCCCTTCGTTAGGCTGTAGGACAGATACGCCAGGCTATAGAAGTCAACTGGATGAGTCTTCATGTTTAATTCCAGGATGTAATCTGAATAGTAATAGTGCCTTTCCTTTTCTTTGATTTTAGGATTAAATAAAGGAATTAGAAAATGCCATTGGTTGCCCAATCTCCAGCAATGAGTTAAATCTTTCTGCTTCGGAATATAAAGTGTCTTAACATCTTTTTATCCTTTTGTGTTATTATTTGGGAATTGTTTTTATAAATACTCATGTACCAGGGAGAGTAAAATGAATTATTTTGAGTGCCTACAAACTAGAGAGCACAGAATTCATTGCAATGACTTGGTTCCGATGGATTTAAAAAGTTAAGGAAGATCTGGAAATTAGGACAGATAGGTACTCAAGAGCAAATGACAGTCATTGCCTTGAATTTCCTGTGACAGCTCATTGCATTTGGAAGTATCTAGCCACAGGATTGGTGAAATTCTTCAGAGCCTGAGAAACACAGTCTGACCACTTAAAAGCCTCGTGGGGCCAATCCTAGCAAGCCACAAACTGCCCCGAGGAGCCTTGACTTCCTACCGTTGTGCCAGTGAAGAGAAGTTTAGACCATTTCGACATTCACCCCATTCTTTTCACGTTAGATCCCTACAGCTCATGAATTCTTGAGCCCTGAGAGGAGAAACTGGGCAGATGGGATATGACCTTGCTCAGTACCTCCCCTGCCTTTCTCCTGCCTCCCCAACACCTGCTGTCCCCTCAAATCTGGCCCATTAGAGGTGCCATTCTGCCAGGCGGTCTCTATCCCCGGGAAGAACTCCCTCATACTCTGTTAGAAAGATGTGATTGCTCCTCCCGCATCTTGCTGTTTTCTGGTCAGTTCAATGGGTAAGCGCAGCCCTACTGATGGAACAAAGCCCGAATCAGTGTTGACAGTCAGCCTGTTAGGTTTGCTCCCTAGCTGCACAGTGCCATGTAGCACTGTTTTCTCGCAGAGAGGCAACAGAAGTAAGTGGTGAGGGCTGTCCGGCCAGGATGCCTGCTGCATTTTTCATTCTTGCTCTGCCACTCAACAGCTCTGTGGTCGTGAGTAAGTGATTTAGCTTCTCCTAGCCTTGCTTTCTGCATCTGTGAAATGGGAATAATAATAGTACTGTGCCTACCTCTTAACGTCATGAGGATAAGATAGGATGAAAAATACTGCGCTCAGAAGAGTGCCTAACACATAGTGAAGGCGCTCTGGTAGCTAGTGTTATTTTTCAGCGCTCTCTTACTCATACCAAGAGAGACCTGCTCCACATCTGATGCTTGTGACAAGGTGGGAAGGTCCCAGGAGCCAGATTTTCCTGGTGCCTGACTCTGGGTAGTAGTTCTCTGCCCAGCTAACATCACTGCTTCTCTTCTCTGCTTTGTGCATCAGGTGACGAAAGACAAGGGATGTTAGGCAGCAGGGGGTCCCTGAAGCTGCCTCATCCCAACCTGACAACCGTCTCTCTCTTTGCTCAGGCCGCAGACATGGTTTTGGTCAACTGTTGTTTGCAGATGGTGGCATCTACCTGGGTCATTTTGAGAATGGGCTCTTTAATGGCTTCGGGGTACTGACCTTCTCCGATGGCTCAAGGTAAGTCCTGGGTCATTCCTTTCTCAGCTTTGATAGTGATTAAATAGCTGGTCAGACCTGAACTTGGCCCAGGCCCTCTGAAAACAGGCAAGAAGTAAGCAGTTCTTTTATTAGTTACTTTATAAATAGTTCTAAAATTTGAAATGGCAAGGAGCCGAGTGACCTTCCACCCGACTGCCATTCTCTTGTGTTACCTCCTTGAGATTAGAGCCCCATATCACACATGCTCTCTGGCCCTCCTCTGCCAGTTGGGAGTGGGGTGTATGGGGGCAGGGATTCTGACACAAGCAGAATCCGCTCAGCGCCTTGGCGTTAATAGGTAACACTCACTGGTAGCTGCTTCACAGTGAACCTCCATAGCTCACTACCCACCCTGCCTCTCCCATCTCATGTGTCTGCAGGTATGAGGGGGAGTTCGCCCAGGGCAAGTTTAATGGCGTCGGAGTCTTCATTCGACATGACAACATGACATTTGAAGGGGAATTTAAAAATGGCAGAGTAGACGGTTTTGGTAAGTCACGGCCCCGCAGGACGGGCGACCGGGGGGAGCATACTGCGGGGGGAGTACACCCTCTTAGCTTGGATGCTTTCGGGGATGTCTAGCAATCCCTAGTGACCAGGCTTTGACGCTGGTCTGTCGAACTTGCCCGTCCAGTGCTCCCGCTCTCAGGAGTAAGAGCTGCAGGTTTTCCTTCCTGCCTTTCCGTGGTACCAAGCTGCTTTCTGAGTCACGCACGTCCTTGTCAGTCCCATATTTCCTCTGTCCCCCGCAAAGGCCTGCTGACCTTCCCTGATGGTTCTCACGGAATACCCCGCAACGAAGGTCTGTTTGAGAACAACAAGCTGCTGCGGCGTGAGAAGTGCTCCGCAGTCGTGCAGCGGGCCCAGAGTGCCTCCAAGTCGGCCAGAAATCTCACTGCCTGACGGGCGTCGTGCACCTGCTCCCAGGCACAGGCCAAAGCGCAGGCCCCGTGACGCCCTCGAGGCGAATCCATGAACCAGATGGGAGAGGAGATGAGAATGCCCACGGAGCAGAGGCCTGGAGACATGCCCCCTCACCTGCCCGGTGGGGATTCAGTGACGAAAGCCGTGAGGATTCTGGCCCCCCGGCCCACAGCAGGGTCACCAGCTCTGTCTCTGCCTCTCTCCCTGGTTGGTATTCTGTGTCCCTAACGCCTCGGGTCGCCCAGTGCAGACCTGCTTCTACTCGATTTCCTGCCGACGGAGGCAGAATCTCTTCATTCTGCCTGTACCGGGGGCAGATGATCCCGGCCCCAGGTTAGGGCTAGTGCTTTGTGCTACCCTGGAGAAACAAGGAGAAACATAGGGGTGGCTTAGACAGCTCCGCAGTCCTGTGAAAGTCAGAGCCAGAGCGTTTCCTTGTGTCACCCCCTCAGTGGCTGCTGGTTGGCTTCATGGCTCCAGGCCTTCCACTTTGTCTCCCCGAGCTGGTATTTGTGTCTGCTTGTGCCCCTGTGAAGGGTGCGGTAAGAGTGTGGTTTCCCTCTCGCCTCATTGTACAAGCTGTCTTCCTTACCTGAGTTCCAGCAGCTAATCTGTGCCCCGTTTGTGCCTCTCTCCTTCCTTAGACACGGGACAGGATCCCTTTTGGGGAATAGTCAAGAAACTGAGACGAGGAGTCATCTCATAACGTGTATTTGTTACTTACTCTGGGGCAGAGGACAGACGTCTCTGGGCCACTTAAGGCCCTACCGTGGAGTAATTGAATTCTTAGGGGTGGCTTGGGCTGACGCAGCCCCTTCCCAGCGGACCTGTAGGTCAGACCCACCTTAACCCCTTGGAGCTTGGGGAGAATTGGACCCATCCTAGGACCGAAGTGAACCAAAAGAGAGTTTGGCTTCTTACATTTGGTTTCCTATTAACTCTTCCACCACAAGCTTGGCCTTCAGGCCTGGGGGTCAGATCTGGACGGTTAGGATTCCTGCATGGTTCATCATGGAGGCCTCCAGTTATCCCAGAACCCAGACATGCCCACTCCACTCCCAGCCCCTTATCCTCACACTGAATGTCTCCTCAACAGCAGATTGTGGTGGAGATTATAGCCGTGTGCCTCTGTTCTCTGAGTTGTACTGTAGAAACAAGTGTTTATGGGGAATAAACAAATCACCAGAACTGCCTATACTTCGTTGACTCTTGCTCTGCATCTTCATCATGGATCAACCCATTTGGTGTTTCTAAAAGTTCATCACAGATGGGGGCTTGGAACTGACACTGCACACTTTACTACGTAGTACCTAATTCTCAAAACCTCCATAAGGCAGGAGCTTTTTTTTTTTTTCTTTTAAATCAGACAGGCTCAGGTTGCCCAAACTAGGAAGTGGCAGAGTTGGGTGAGATTTGTATCCTGGTTTTTCTGATTCCAAATCACTTGCCACTGTACTTCTTTTGTCCTGAGTGTCCAGAGTGCCCACATCCTGAGACCAGTTATTGTCACACCTGCTAGGTAACCTTGGGCAAGTCAGCTCCTGCCTGGGTTTCCCTTTTTCTGCAACAGTACCTCGCCAACTGAGCTAATGTGCAGTGTTCACCTGCCACGCTAACCCCTTCACATGTGTGATCTTATGGAGCCCTGAGAGAAAGGAACTGTTACTATCCCCAAATTACAGATCGGTTCGGGCACTTAAGTAGTGCCCAAGGTCCCATCGACCCTACGGGGCAGATCTAAGAACTTAAACCCAGGCCTGCTTAATTTAAGCCCAGAGGCTGAGTACCTTACCAGTACACTGACCAGCCTCCCGAGCCCTAAATTCTGCCCCGTCACTAAGCTGGATTCTCCTCTGAGCCCAGATCTTCTGGACGTTGCCTTGTGAGAAGAGCCCAGGTGCTAAGCCCCAAGATTCAGTACCATCCAGATGGCCAATTTCAGTTGAAGATTGATACCTTTTATAGTCTCTCCTCTAGGCTTTGTTTGTCCTAAACAAGGATCTCTTTACCTTTCTTTTTAGCCAGAGTAATTTTTAAAACATTCATCTCTGGTTTACTGCCACTAGTCAAGTATCACTGAATAAGGTTAAACATTTTTTGAGAAAGCAGGCTTTTTGGTTAATGTGCTGAAGTGTTTCTAAATATCTCAGTTGAACCTTTTTGCCTCCTACCTCCCATTCGGAGCTTCAACAAGCCTTTCCCCTAGGCCACCACTGATCTAATACCTCGTTTGCTGTGGACTCTTAGGGCCTCCCAGAGCTGGGAGAAAGCAGACCTTGAAGGTTAAATTGCCTCCAGGAAGGTTCTTGACATCTAGGCAGGAAACCTGAGACCTACATGGCAGCGAGGTATCGATTTGTATATGGCCACACCGTTTTCACTTATTCAACTTTATTGCAAGAACAAGGTATTATTTTTAACAATGAAAGCACAGTGCCTAAGGCAAGAGGATGGCCAGGTCTTAGACCAAGTCTCCTTCCCTAATGTTTCAGACCTAGGTTGGCTAGAAGTCTCCTAGAATGTAACATTTATCCACCAGGGGTCATTATTTACCAACTCTGGCAAGCCCCTGGGTCGGCTCGTGCTCTCTTCGGTTGAGATCAACGCTAGAGATGAGAATATGAGAGGATCAAAATGGATTTAGGAAAGGGCACTGTGTCTGGAATGCAGCTTGGGGGCCTTTCAAAGGCCAGTGACACTTCTGATTAGGTTTCCGAACCCACCGCTTTCCCTGGAAGGAGTCAGTTTCTTAAGAATAGCTCTGGCTCCCCGCTGCACTGTGCTGGGCTCAGGTGTGTCCAGCCAAGTCTAAGCAGCTGTCCCATCAGTAAAATACATGATGTTACTTGTGCCCAGTACCCCCCTGCTCTTGCCCTCTGGCTCCTGGTCACGTCCCAGGGCACAGGAAGGCACAGTAGGACAAGCAATTGCTCCTTCCCAGACTAAGGGTCTCTAGAGAGCAGAGTTTAGGGTACAAATGCCAGCAGTCACGGGGCTGTGAGAATAGGAAATGAGGATGCATGGCAGAGCCTGGAAGAGGCTACCTAGAGGACTCAAGTAGGGAAACAGGCTTTGAAGGCTCGTACCCCCATGTGCCTCTTCAGCTGCAGGCACAAGGCAGGAAGCTGAGATGGGCTCGGGTCCTCTCCTTGCCCTCAGAGCCAGCCATTACTGCTGAAATCCATACGCAGCGCCTCCTCGTCTGTGGGGCTAAGCTCCTGCAAGGGGGCTCGGCAGGGGCCTCCATAGTAGCCAAACCAGTCCATGGTCTTCTTCAGCCCGGGGATCCCAAAGCGCCGGGTCACCTGTGAAGCAGGGCCTGTTAGAAGAAACTGGGGAACCCCTGCATACACATGACTGGGACACAGGTGTCACTTGCAGAAAGTTAGGGTTCCTCCCCGCCTCCCCTGGTAGAGTAACTTTACCACATCGGTGACACCACAGTCAATTGGAAATTCAGACTGAGAGACCAGAAGGCAGGTCAGCAGTAGAGAATACGATGCCAACAACTCAGATTAAGGAAGGAAGTCACCTCCTTGGATTTTAGGAGAAAAATCTACCCCATTGAGGAGAAAAGCGGCATTCAGTCATCAAGCTGGGATGGGAGAAGATAGCAATGCTGTGGGTCTGCAGCCCAGTTCACAGGGACCTAGGGCCAGGGCATACCAGGCCTAAAGCTATTGTGATAGCTTAAAATCATGCATGGGGTCTTATAGAAAATGAAGCATCAAGTTTCTTTGTCTTCGGCATAGCAACTGGTTATTTCATGCTGATCAGAAGTGTTAGATGAATCTTTGACTACCTAAAAACTAGGAATGTAATCATTACTTAATAAAGTTTTATTTGGAGGGAAGATAAAACCTTAGAAGTATGGGCTTCATGAAGGGTGAAATAAAAAAAGAGGTTGGTTGGGGTAAAAAAGTTGCGAGCCACTGATGAATGACTGACGACTAACTATTTACCACTAGTGGCCGGGGAATTTTTTCTTGGAATGAGTGATACGCCATCCACCTCCTAGGCCTGGCCCCAGCCATGATGTTCTAATAACCTGGGCTTTTCACCCAAAACCGGAGTGGGGTATGAAAGACCTAGGGGAGAGGATGGGAATAAGAAGTACCTAGAGAACAGCCGCCTTCCACCTTAGGTGTGTGGGATCTCTGAGTTGCCTCCTCCCCAGACCCACAGAAATAATTGAATGCTTTTTGTGGTAAAGACCATGGAAAGTCCTAAATATAGCCAGGGCAGGAGGCCAGCTGGGTGGGAAGGCAGAGGAAGGACATGGTGTTCGAGCAGGGCAGGGCAATAGGGTGACATCAAGCTGCTCCTGGGGGGGCTGAGCTGACAGCCCAGGCAGCAGAAAGGTGTTCCAGGAATTCCTGAATGTGTGCCCAGAGTTGGCACATGAGGAGGCACTGAGTCAAGAGTAAGGCAGGATGGCATGCGGGGAACTAGCATGGCAGCGAGCATCCTCTCCTCCCAAGGGGCAGCCCACAGCTTCATCTGTAAAATGAGGAGATGACAACACCTACCCCATGTCACAAGAATCGAATGAGAAAAATACCACTGTAAGACCAGACCCCAAGAGACCTAAAAGCTGCTCCTTTTCCTGTCCTGGTGGTATGTTTGTTCTGGAACCTTCTCTCTGCAGGTGGGTGGGCGTAGAGAGCAGAGGTCCCACCCTGGTGGGGAGTCCGGTACATACCAGACAGGCTGTGCCCTGATGGGGCTCAGCTGAATGGCCCTCATTTCTGCAGTTCTTGCATCCTATTAATAGGGCATCCTATCCCAGGAGAACCTTCACATCCAGGGAGACTCGTGCTTGCCTCCTCAGCTGTCCTTTCTCTAAAGCTGAGTTAATCTGCCCTTTTGAGGTAAAGATACAAGCTATAAGAGAGATCTAGAGCCCACCACTTTACCCAAACAAAACATTACTGCTTAGCCTGGGACTATCACCTCAGATGCAAAATTTAAGGGGATGCCAAAAAAATCAGTCATCCAGGTAAGTAAGATTTGTGCCATATTTTTTTAAAAAACTGAAATCAATGCAAAAAAAAAAATCCATGATGAACAAAGTGTCAATGTTTTAAATAAAGACAGGATCCGACAGGGGCACCTGGGTGGCTCAGTCAGTTAAGCGTCTGACTTGGGCTCAGGTCATGATCCCAGGGTCCTGGGATGGAGCCCCGCGTCGGGCTCCCTGCTTGGTGGGGAACCTGCTTCTCCCTTTCCCCCTACTGCTCTCCCTGCTTGTGCTCTCTCTCTCTCTCTGTCAAATAAATAAATCTTTAAAAAAAAAGACAGGATCCGACAGAACCGTGCCTTGCCGTATTATGGCCCAGAAGCAAAAGTAAACGTGTGCCCCTATATCCATGTTCTGTGTGTTTTTTATTGGTTCATTTTTGTTTTTCTAGGAGTAGATGCAGGAAAAAATTTTTTGATGAGGTTGTTTCTATTCAAGCCAGGGAAGTAAAATT